ACTATGCGGTAGGCAGCTCTTGATGGAAATAGGCTGCAGTGCGACGAAAGGGTGTACGTAGGGGCAACTCCACCCGATTCTCTGATGTACAGTGTACGTGTGTACGCTGTTCTGAGCTGGCAACAATGGTTACATCATTCAGCTGATTTTTGCGGTCTGTCAGGCCGGTCCCGAAGGGAATGGAAAGCCCATTCACCGCATTCTTACTGATCGTTTTCTTGGCGAAGCGATCCCTAAACGATCACGACTGGTAGAGCAAGGCAGCCGGAGATGGGGTCATCCCGCCCCTGCTGCCACCCCGACTGATTGCGACGTTGTCAACTATACCTCGTCCTCTTTGTTGTTGGAGCTGTCGTCGGGGATAAAAGTTGAACAGTCGAAGGCGGATAGGTTTCGTAAACAAATTCTGGCGGTGGACTTGGCCTGAAAATCGAAATGGAAGAAATGAGCTTTTTAATTAAATTATTACAACGTATACCCTGGCAAGCTTGCCAGGCTGAATAGGTTCCTCGGCACAAGAAGGCTGGGAGGGCATTAGACAATTCCTCTCAACTTATTGGACCATTTTGTAGATGCTTTTAAATTTTTGTACAGCTACGAAATAATAGGAGCTTCACTTGCGAGCCATTTCTTTCCGTGATCTGATGTTGGACGCAGGAGGGTGAGGAAAACGACTGTGAGCCGGGGGATTTCGATCTCTTCGGCAGTTAGGGCCTTTGAGCGCCTGGAGTGTTTTTTCAAGTTGTGTAGGTGGCACACTGGTGGGCTTAGAATGGTAGCTTGCTTTTTCTGTGCGCTTCCGGGGGGGTGCAAAGAAGGGCTGAAGGAAAGTTCCCCATTCTTACGCCGAGCTCAGTGGCCTTTTGGCGCTTACCTTGCACCCGAACCTTTAGAAATGGAATAAAGATCGCTGAGTACACTTCTTTTGGTGGTTTCATGGATGCTTTGCTGCCCCTGTGTTTTGGGTACGTATTACTTTTGAGCTTGATAAGGATCTCCAGGATCTTACAAAGAGCTCAGTGCGTTGACAGGAAGTAGCTCAATGCCTCCTTCTTACCACTAGCTAACTGGGCCAAGGGTTTTTCAAAGTTACCTGTCTTCATAACCCGGATTGGTTAAATTTGCTGGTGGTACGACGAACGTTTTTGCCATAGGTTCAAGCGCCATCGTAGGTTCATTCATAGCGACCATATTGATCGGTTGGCATGTCTGGATAAAGATCTTTCCACTGAATAATTGGTAAATTTTTTGGAGCAGTGCGACTCGGAGGGGAAGTAGCGAACGTGCACCTATCCCTCAAAGCCTGAACAGCGCCATTTTGCCAAAAGCGGCTCATCATTCGCTCATCTATACCTCATTTTTGTATGATGAATACAAGTTTTGCTGACTATCCTACTCCTAAACAGCTTGTAAGAATGTCCAAAACTCACCAGAGCAATTGCGAATACAGCCGGCAACACTGCACCACAGAGGATCATGGCGTCGTTGGTCCTCAAATGATAGGCGTCGTAATAATACAATCTACATGGTTCGTTAGATTTATGGCTTAGTGGTAAAATAAATTTTGAAGAGCTTTTGGATCGTTACGTCACTCAATGGCCCACGACATTTCGAAGGTTACGCTGTGAAAGTGAATGGCCAAACTCATCTCAAAAATGGAAATTGCTGGAAACATCATATTCTAATATCATCATCAGACGTTCTGAAGGCTGATCACATGTGAGTGATGTTCACGCGGATTCAGTCGAATATGTTGATACTTCGAGAAGGTTAAAGACAAACTGCAGACTCACCTCCGGGGATCCTTGTGCTTTTGCGTTCTTTCTGTTTGACTGAGTAGCGTAAGACCTATTTAAAGGCGGTCTGAGGGCGCTGTTTAGCGACGGGGGGCATTTTGTACTAACATTGCTTCCCTAGTTCCGGTTTACGAATCTCACCATGGTAAAACTTGTGAACGCCTGTGAAGCTGGAGTAAGATCGTCTAGCCACCATCCTAAAACGTGTCAACTCGAGAAAAGGCTACCTAGATGGGTCGGCACATCTATGAAAAGCCGAATGCCCCCGTCGACAAACTGCGCCTGGTCTGAGATATGGAGTACGGGCATGATACCACCGTCACTTGGAAGGCATGAATCGTACCATCTTGTTCGCTGCGGACACTGGGTGTGTAAGGGGGGGGGGGAGAAGGGGGGGGGGGGGAGGGGCGGGAGATGGGCTTGACGCTGCTCCAACCAATTATAACCAATTGTGGCTTACCTGCCACTTAGAATCAGTCTGATATGACGCAACGGTAGAGGACTCACAGCAAAAACCATGTCAGCTTGTTCTTCTTTCATACACCTAGTCCCCCTGCTTGGAATCAACTTCTCCTCGAGATATGGTGAGAAGTTTTCAAGCGTACTACTACTTCAGCGGGTCGACGTTTCATCAGTCACTTTGATAGCCAGTGAAGTGGTACGAATTCTACTGCGATGCTTCTTTTCGGTCGTTCGAGGCTCAGTGTTATAGCTCAAGCTCTCAAATGTCTGCTACTTGCGCTGCACAATGGAGATGCTTCTTTTGTTCAATGAGAAGAAGTTGTTCCGTAGCTATTCCTGACGTGATTATTATACTCATCCAACTGAAAACACACTTGCCGATGGTCCTGAACAGATAAGCTTTGACTGCGGTATGAGTGATTGATTCATATTTGCAAAACTTAACAAAGGGGCTATCGTTCTTATCGAGGGTGATGAAAGGCATGAGGGGACCAACTGCTGGGTGTGGAGCGCAGACGAATCAGGCATTGTAAGGTTGAGAAAGTAGCATTCGCATCAGGACCTAAATCACTAACGTAGCAGTGCTACAGCGCGTGCGTCCACTCTCCCTGCGTCTCTCAAGACTTTCTGTGTCTGGCTCTTTCCTTGTCTATCTAGTTAACCAGTTAGGAGATCATGCTAGTGCGCGCGATGCCGCGACTGGGAATAATGCCCCAAAAACAGACGGCTTTCATCCCCTGCTGGCGTGTAGCAACAGAATCGTCCGGTGCAGCTGGTGGGCGTGGCCTGCGACATGCTTGCGGCGAGAGGACAAATCTTGCGTCTGGCCGTTTGAATAGGGATATTGAAGGGACGGTAAAGATTGATATCATCCAGGATCGAGTCTTGTGTTACAGTGAAGGTTGACTTTTTAGTTTTTTCTTTGTTTTTCCATAGAGAATGGAAAAGTTCATTAGAGCATGCCCTTCAACGTTTACCATGGTGTGTTTACAGCAGCTCACAGGAAAACTTGACCATTCATCTATCAAATATTGACGCTGACGACTGCGCGAATCATGTGAATCACATAAACATAGGGAGAATAACTGCCTTATTTGTTTTCTTTTGTATCTGTTTATTTCCTGAAGTTGCGTCTATGGAACCGCCAAACAATTGTGTGTTACTATCAAGAGAAACATCGTTAGATTTTCAGTTATTGATCAAGAAAACCGGATGTACGCTGTAGTAAATCATTGCTCCAGTCGCAAAGCTATCGGCTAGCAAATGCACGTGAGCTGCTGAGTCATTCGCCGCGCGACGCGCCGCGTGCCGCGGGCGCTGCCCCGGACGATTCTGTTGCACGTCTCCCCATCCTCTGCCGACTCTCTTCTTATTATGCTTCCATCTGTCTTTCAGACCTTTAACGCTCTTGGACCCATGCCTCTTGTCACGTTTATTTGTACCACAACATTCTCTCACAATCGATTTAGACAAAAAAAGAAGGCAGGATACGCGTGCATGATATTTTATATAGAAATAGCTGCATAAAATGACAGATGTGACACGTTTTAGAGTTTTGGACAATCTCCTGCGTAAATAATCGTTAAACATTGATTACGTAAAAATCAGAGTTCATAATAGTCGGGAAGAACCGTCGAATCACTGCATACCATAGATGCACTTCAGTTTGGCATACCGTAGCTGCAATCCAATTTGAAACCCGGGTAGGGGTGCTGTCGATACTTATGGTATTTCACCTAAAAGATACAAGCTGAAGAACTCTTGCGAGCTAGAACGCCACCACACACTGTAGTTATTATTTCAGGTTGCTTATACTGCCATTGTCGAGCCCTTTGGCTTTGTCCCTGCTACTAATTCTTACTCTTTTGACAGTGTTGACCAGCAGACCTCCCACGATGTGGTAGGTAATGGTCCTGCAGCCTTCCTGAACCGACCTGGTGGTTTCGTGTGCCAAAATTAATCCATTCTTCTACGGTCTCATGTATACATATACATGTGTATGTATGTATGCATTGAACAGTGGTTCCTCTCTTTCGATCTTTTGATAGTCCCTACAGCTGCGGGTCAGTCGTTAGTCTTGATCACAGCACACCATTAACTGCTCGAGTTCGCCTCACCATAGCCACCCGTGTACTGTTTGAAAAACGCTGCTCCTATGTGGCTTGTAATGTCGAGATACTAGATGAAACTGGTATTATTTTGTAGCAGCATATCATAACTCTCCCATCATTTCCCTCTGAGAGCTTAAGCAGATGCGCGTCTGTTAGGCCCTAAAGAAACGGTCACAGTCTTCTACACACCCTTTTCCGTGAAAAGTCCATTATTTGTAATCATTTGCCGTTCACCACTTTACCGATCATTAATTCATTTCGGTGTTTTGTGCGAGTAACAGTCATGAGTCGTAACCTTTCTCATATTCCCTTCTCTGCCCATCGAGTTACTCTAAGGCATTCGATTGCTCATGACCCTTCAAACTTGTTTGTATGTTTTCTGACGAAATTAAAATTAAGCTCACGTATGGTTGCTTTTCGTATTCCTTCAAATTCCATATATGATTGATTTGACCAAGATAGGTACGATTGAATATGAGCTCGTGCATACAATCCACAACGCCATAGTCGATCGAAGGCATCATCTGAACGGCACTATCAATCATTCCCTCACCAGCTTTCCATATTTCTTACTTTATTAGCCATCAGCTTTGGATGCTTAGCGAGCCAGACAAAATCTTCTACTCCAAAAATACAAACGGAATGACGATATTTCTGTGAGCGACATTTCAGTTTGTCCTCGCCGGTACCAGGTTGCTATTCTGAAATGGTACTATTTAAACTCACTTCAAATATATTGCATTGCGTTATGTTCCCAGACTTAACAAGGGAGCAGTAGCTGTTTCACTGGAGAAGCACCCAGCGACTGCGGTTGCGATGTAGGAAGGATGGTTCGAGAAAGACTTTGTAAGAGCTGAGAATATTCCATGATCGGCTTTCAATTAATCTCGGCATATAGGCGTAGTGTACTGTTGCTTGATCCTTTAGCCTTCCGAGATTGGTAAAGACGTTTATTAGACTAACGTTTCGGCGAAAATCGCCTTCTTCGGAGTCCTGTAAAGTCGAAAGCACATTATCGAGACACTTCACCCAAAACCAATCCCAGCATCACTTACAAGAAAATCAAGGGTAGGGAATCAGGGAACGAAATCGTAACAGACCTACAACTAACCTCTTACTGATGTGGAAACTCTACCGGGCACTCTGAGTCTAGAGCCTGAGCGGTGCTTTTATATGAGTTTCAGCCTTTACACAAGATTTTATATGAAAACTGTCCCTCTAGGCCCGTTACCACTTCTCGGCAGTGACCCAGTTTTGACAGTTATGAGTGTGCCCTTTTGGTCCCTCATCTTTGGCGACGGCCGACCCCAATTCCAAACTGTTATCTTCAGCCTTTGACCCGACGTTCTCAGTGGCATATGGCTCCTATCCTTTGACCCGAACTCTTAGCTGAAACTCATATAAAAGCACCGCTCAGGCTCTAGACTCAGAGTGCCCGGTAGAGTTCCACATCAGTAAGAGGTGAGTTGTAGGTCTGTTACGATTTCGTTCCCTGATTCCCTATCCTTGATCATCTTTTGTAACTGATGTTGCTTTTTGAGTGAAGTGTCTCAGTAATGTGTTTTCGCTTTATAGGACTCCGAGGAAGGCGATTTTCGCGAAAACGTTGGTCTAATTGATGTCTTTAACAATCTCGGAAGGCTGAAGGTTCACGCAACAGTTGCAAGAGCTGATTGATCGAACTGTGCAGAAGCAAGCAGAAGTCGCCCACCACGGAGACAAATTGTATGCTCACTTCAAGGACGGTCCCTTCCATATGCGAGGTGGGTGAATCCGCAACCGCCCTAGAGCAGGGGTCAGGGTCACACATCACGCTGAGGAATCTGAACCCGGGGGTACGGCTCCCCGTTGAAGTGAGTGCCGACACGACCTCTTGTCTCCTTCAGCTTAATGAAAAGAGCATAATTATATCGAGACTCAGGAAGAAGGAACATAGAGTTCTTTTTCAAGCTTTTCAGCTGCGTCGCGTGTCGTTTTGGAACGCGCTAATTCACTGATCGTTACCTTGAAGCTCTTCGAGTCGTAACTTTATTTCGAAACATCACTTTGCAGAGTGATCTACGCGATTCCTGATCTTTCGAAAGCTTCCATCGGACAGATGCTAAACTAGTACTGCCAATGGTCTCACAGCTTCTCGTCGAAATTGACGATTGAATTTCTTGAGCATGTGAGTTTTTTACCTTTCAGGGGCCAATAAAGTCGGTAATACGGGACGGAGTGCAAAATAAAAACAGATGTTACCGGCATACCACTTCATTGTAGATGGCAGAGTAACCTGCTAACAACTGAGTCACCTGCTAATATTTCCTGGTCAGGAGTCCCCCTCAGAGGCCATTCTTTCAGTCATCTTCTATTTGCTTTCAACATTGTCATTCATTCAAAGTGCGTAATGATTAGTTAGAAACACATTCTTTTGTCTTGCACTGACGTACTGTTAAATTTGCCCTAAGGGAACAAGCTGACCTTGTTATAAAGCCAATGCGGCCTCCTTTTTTCACACACTGTGCGGTGAATCTTCCGGGCATATTGAGACTATCACTCGCTTGCAGCGTTGGAATAAGAACCTCATCAACACCCAATACCTAAACAGTAACTCTAAACCTGTCATTCTCAAAAATCAGCTCGAAGTCACAAATAAGCGGCATGCAGCGCAAGTGTGTAAGACAGCCGCTATAACTATACGTTCTTTCAGTGTGAGCGAAGTGGGCTATGATAGACCTACATTAAGATCAAGCTGTTCAAATGTTTTGTTGAGATCTATTGTGTTCACCATCCAGTCGACTGCAGCACGTGACAGCGAAGCATGTACTGCTCCTCGCGCAAATGTCAGTGAAGCGTTTAATTGAGACGGTGTCAATCCTTTCTCTGAAGGGGATAACTTTGAAAATAAGCGAATTTTCGAGGCAACTTCGTAGGAAAACAATAATCTCCTGTTACTGTACCACAAGGTGGCAGTGATAGACCGCGCCAGATAATGATAACGTTACCTCTTGAAATCCCATAAATTGAACATCTTCAAAGATCTCAGCTTTTGTTTGCCATTTCGCATTGGTGTGTAACAGTTTCCACGAACTTTTCAACAAAGTCTCGGGAATGAATTTTTTCTCTCCATGAGAGTGGCATTATCATTTTGCGGAGCGGTTTTTCGTGAAATACTTCTTAAGGACATATTAAATGTTGGTCGATTCCTCGCTGATCCAGAACCACTCAGGGATTTGCGAGTTCTTCGATAATGGAAGTCCACACAGTTGAGCATCAAAATTTTCCTGGATTTCCTGATCGACAAGGTGCCTTGCAGCGAATTCAAATCTCAAAAAACCTTCGTCGTTCTCAGGCAATGTTTCTTACCGTCTCGGTAAAATCTCAGCGAGCGAACATCCCACTTTAGTGACTGGTTGTAGCGTTTACTTTCGCATTTTCCCATGTGCACATCGTTTGCTCCTCCCAATACTGCTAATATAGCAACGGTTTCGTATACTGTTTTGATCATGACGTCGTAATTCTGAAATTAAATACACGATTTTCTGATATGCGAGAGATTCTGCGACAAATTCTTAGTTTCGAAAATCCGCACGGAGAACCTGCATGAGCATCGCATATCCCCAGCTTTTATACGCCATCACCGCTTTCATGCATTCGTAATGTGCGCGAGTTCCATTAATTCCACGTCTTCCAATGACAAAACGCTCTGAACGATAAGTGTTCGTAGATAAAAAAACACTGTATTTTTAAAATATCTTCATCCAAGTAAAGGTTGAAAGACTCAGTGGTAGTAATACTATACTACTATAATACTATACTAATACTGGTAGTAATACTTCTCGGATGCGAACCCTTCCTGGAGTATCAGCTTGTCGTCAAGAAACAATGACTATGTGCGGAAGATCCGGACGAAGCACGCCCTTCTCTAATGGTGCTTTTAAATGAGAGATCGTGCATCAACCACGGTGCTGTCACTCTTAATCTAATGATAGACAATTCAGTCCAGTTCAATGGCGTTTCAGGTGTCTTTTCAAAAACTCATATTTATCCTGAATATAACGACCGTTCGAGAGTAGCGCTGAAGAGTTTATGCCAGATGGTGTCATTCTGTCGAACACCTCTTCACGTAGATGGTGGTTTCCTAGTGGAGGTTATTATCCTGGTGGTGAAAATTCCGTAGAGCTAGCCAAAAATCCTCATGCACCGGCTGTGGACACCTTGACTGCCCGGGCTTCAATGACCGCTTCTGACTCAGCGGAGTCAAAGGCCTTCTTTCAAGCCGATGTCCATGAGAAATACGAGCATTCGGTAATCTAGTGATGTGTCTGTGAGTCTCGTTATGGATGTATTCGAATCTTCTTCGAAAGCCTGCCTGCTAACATGGCCGTCGTTCATCTAGTCACCTCCTGTTAAGGATGACTCTTTGGCAGTAAAACATCAGGCGTTATCTGGAACAGATAGACATGAGAAAGAAGATTGGCCATTGACAACTACACTATCTTCGCTTTGCTGACGACACATTCTGGCCGCACTAAGCGAACAGAGCGAATGCTTGCTGATTTTGGCTGCACGAGTGGGAAGTCGGGCTGTAGCTTGACTTCACGAAGACGATAATCAGGGAAGATGGACTGATTCCGCATGCTCCGCTCACGCAACGAAACGAATACGTCTGAATGCTCTATGTATCAGGGTCAGGAAAATATAATGTACAGCTCAGTACCAGAGTTAGGGAAGAAGCAAGCGGCCCGGGGACATTCAAGAACAGCGAGGGGGTAGCGAAAAAGGCGAAGAATACCCTGTTTTCGTGCCTACCTATCCGAATCTACGGCCTTTCCGACCTAGCGTACGTTCGGAGACTTGAACTCGACAAGAGCAGGATGAAGCATCGGTCTGTGTCATCGTAAGGGTCACTCAAGGCGCCATCAAAAGAGCGATGCTCAGAGTATCCCGCTAGAAACAAGTGAGAGAGGGAATCCGGAATTCCGCACTCTATCGACGAGTAAAGATCAGGGACGCAGCAGCATCTGCTGAGGTTTCGAAGGACCAGATTAGGCCGGCACGTCAAACGTTTCAAAGATAGCCGATGGACCGGAGTACCGGCTGATCCCGAGGGATATCAGCCCAACACTCGGAGGGTGGTCAGACTTCTAAGTGTAAGGTCTAAACGAACGGAGTAGTGTTGAATGGTCTCTTGGAAATGAAGAACTCATTGCTCAACCCGAGAACACTGCAATAACTAATGGGGACGTTACTCTCGCTCGCTCGAGCAACTCGATGGTCAGCGGTAGCACATGTGGTGCACAAGTGGTCGCACTGCATTTCCTGAAGATTGCCAATTCTTTAGCAATAAGGTCACTCTCGTAGAAAGATTCGATCGAGCGCGTAGTCTGATTTTCACTCTCAGCTGGAATGCAACATATTTTGAATGAATCTCGCGAAGTATTTTCTTCCTTCCTATGCTCTCAGTGAAACAGGCTCGATAAATAACGAGACCCTGCTGAAGTCAATGATAGAACTTGCAATTAGAGAACTATCTAACCTTTAGGAGCTATGACATTAGGAAGGCATTCTGCAAGTGCCTCTACCCTCTCAGTGAAGTCTTTTTTCGCCTTATAATCGATGGAGTAGCAAAAGATATTCTGTGGATGATAGCTTGATCTCAGTTCATCCTCGAGGAACTCGTAACCCTGGAATGTTTCTGTCTAGAACGAGACGGAAATCCTTATTTTACTGAGGAATGGCTTCTGAAAGGTACCTCGTATACGATTCTTAAGTGCGCTACTCCAAATTTCATTCGATCAAGTGGCTTTGGGGGAAGCACTCGAGCGCGAATGTGTTCGCAGCTCATAGACAGATAGACATGGTCGGAAAGTTTGGGACGTGATGCTGTCAGTTTCCTTGAATAATCACCCTGCAAAATAAACCCTATAGGAACAACCAAAATACCGTTAACAAAGTTACTTACGTTATCGTCATGCAGGAGCTTTCCACAGTCAATGTGCATCGTTTCTCTTTTCCGCCGAAAATGTACCACCTTTCGTTGCTCATGGTGTGTGCTCTGGAATGAAACTTTTCACCCCTCATATCTGCGGCATGCTATCATGCTACATTTCTGTCTCTGAATATGCTGCACTGACTCTGAATATGCTGCACCCATCGGCGCTTCAGGTGAAGCACTTCATCAGATGATGCTCATTATCAACAGCATATATAGTCTAGTTCACTGCGAAGGGCGTGTTAGGTGGAACAAGAATGACTCGTTGCCAAACACGTCTTTCACATTCTGTTGAAATGAGCAAGCACACGACAGCACAGCTGCTTTTATTCTTTGCTTGTATTATTCTATTCTCTGCCGTGTATGCCATGAGCGCCGAAACATTGCATGTAAATAATCGGTTCTTTCGGAGCCTGTTTTCATGGATCGGAGCGTTTTGTTCCGAACAAAAGTTGGAGGAACGAAACTCAAAACTGAATCTTTTGAAGTGGATGTGCAGTTCATCCTGAAAAAAGAGCGAAACGAAAGGCTCGTCCTTTTTTATGTACAGCAACCCTTCGAACCGATTGGAACCACATTCAGAAAGCTCGTTTCAATCACTAAAGAGGAAAGTATAGGTTGGAAAGGAAAGTCCTGTCACTGTTGTGATTTTTTTCTTTTTTATTTTCTAACTCAACATGAAATAAAAACTAATCAATAATATAATCGCCATTGTTAGCCACTACAGTGCTCCACCTAATGGGCAAGTCAGCTATCCCCTTCTCCCAGAACTGAGGAGGCTGCGAGTCGAAGAAGTAGGCAACTTCTCGACTGATGTCATGCAACAAGCATTAACCCAATCCGTATGCAACATGATGGAGTGGGCTACTGCTTGGGGAATACCTATAAATTTCACGAAGACATCTGTACTTCATATAGGAGCAGCTAGAGTTGTACCGTACATAATCGATGGTGTTCCCCTTGGTACTTCAAGAGAAGTTCGTGACCTCGGCTTTCTTGTTAATTCTGATTTGGATTTCACACATCATATTAATGCTGTTGTTCGTAAGGCCTTCACTACTCTTTTCGCAATACTCAGAAATGTTCGAACAAATGATTCTCTAACTTTGCTGAAGCTCTATAAAGCATATGTCATACCCATACTTGAATACGGCTCTCAGATTTGGAATCCTTACACCAAAAAACTTCAGGCAAAAGTTGAAAAAGTTCAACAAACGTTCACCAGAATTCTAATGTACCGATGTTATCCCAGCCCGTTATATCCACGTGGTTTACCTAGCTATAGAGAGCGCTTACAGCTTTTCAACCTGAAGTCATTACTATATAGAAGGGTGTTTAATGACATTTTGTTCTGCTTCAAGTTACTCAAAGGAGAGTTAGAGATAGGGGTGAAGACTGAAGCCCAGTAAGTACTGGATATTCCGGCCAAGTAGGGGCCGTTCCTCCTCGCTATCCCTACAATGCCCGAAACTGAGCAATAGCCATCGATCTAAAATATTTAACTCACTATTTTTCCGTGGAGCCAGATGGCTGCAGTCACTGCCACCAGTCCTACAAAAGGCGCCAAATATCAACGTGTTCAAAAAGAATTGAAGGAAGTTGACCTACTCGCTTTACTAGGAATTGAGGATTTCTGAAATACTGAGGTGTGAAGAGTTTCCTGCTAATGTGTATTTGCCTAAATTTGTCGTTGTCTTTATTTATATTCGCTTGGATGTTTTCGTTCAACCAATTTCGAGCACTTTGTAGCGCACCTCGCGTGCATAGTAAATAAATAAATAAATAAATTCGCTGAAGGTTTTCTTACCTAAGGAAAGCCTTGAGGGAGCGGAACAGGTAATAGTCGGAGGGGGCTAGGTCTGGAGAATATGGTGGATGGGGTATGGTCTCCCAGCCTAGCTCCTCAATTTGCGGTGGGTCTCTTTAGCCACATGTGGTCTGGCGTTATCATGGAGGAGGTGCACCGAAGCTCGTCTCGGCCGCTTTTCTCGAAGAGCTTGCGCGAGTTTCTGGAGTTGGGCGGTGTAAACGGTAGCGGCGACCGTTTGCCTGCGGGAGCAGCTCGTGGTGCAGATGCCCTTCGAATCCCAAAAGCAGCAGAGGAGGACCTTCTTGGGGTGCAGGTCCGATTTGGCTTGCGTGGGCGGGTCTTCTCCTCGAGGTAGCCACATGGCACGGCGTAGGTTAGAATCATAGAGCACCCAACTCTCATCTCCAGTCACAATATCCTCCAGAAACTCCTTCCGGTTACGGTGTAGAAGGAGGGATCGACAGATGCTCACCCTGGCATACCGCGTGCCATCTGTTAGAGCATGAGGTATCCATCGCGTGAGGACTTTTCTGTAGCCAAGGGCCTGAAGGCGGCTGAGAGCTGTTGAATGGCTACACCCGAGTCTTGTCGCAATACTGCGGGTGGTAGCCTCCGGATCCTCTCTGACAGGTTCGAGAACGGCGGAGTCCTCCACGCCGTGAGGGCGTCCCGACCGAGGTTTGTCTTCGAAGATCGTCTCTCCTTTCGCGAAGCGAGCGAACCAACGGTGGACAGTCCTGACGGTAGTGGTCCTTCCCCAATGCACAGTTGATGTTACGGACGCTGCCGTCGCTCCAGTGCCGCGGCGCCACTCATAGAAGATGATCACTCGAAGCTGCTCCAGTGAAACTGACATCATAAATAAACACAGGGAAGAGCAGGAGCCTTGATATACCTCTTGTGGAAAAGCTTCGAGAATGTTCTACAACCTTAGCATGTTACGTCATGTTCGAGCTTCGAAGATCAAAAACTGTAGGCTATCTCAAAAAACACTGAAGGACTTCCCTTCCAACCTATATATCAGTTCGCAAAGGCCTTTCAAGATGAATTGTACAGCTCGTACAAGCGCCCTCGGACACTTTTTCCTGACCTTCAAATTTGCTAGACCGTTTGAGGGACAAAGTTAATGGGCCTCTTTCTTGCCTGTGCTGTTCTTCCTTGTGAATCCTCCCGTCTTGAAAAATTCAACGCGGTTGTTCTAAAGCCGTTCAGCATATTTGGAGATCAGATTTTTGATGTGCTCTCTAAGGAGCACATACGGTTCTTATCTGATATTATCTGGAAAGGCCGTGTCAAGCCGGTATAGTATTTCCATTTGGTTTTCACACAACGGCATGCATATATGCGCATCTAAAATCGCATGAGCTGACAATGAGACTGAAGATGGTAAATGAGAAAGAAGAAAGTGGCTGTTTGTCGAATCATCTAGCGCTACGTTTCAGTCGTGCATTTCAACTCAGTAAATAGCATCACATATCATAGTGATGAGCTTCTTTACTGGCTTACTGACGATTTTAGGTCAAAATAGTTCACCGTCTTACCTCGGTTGGGTGACTTCCATTTTGTTCTCCTTTGAACTCTGAAAACTTAAAGGTTTAAAAGGAGCTTGAAATGTCCACTTTTTTACACGACTCTGCCATACGTACATCATGTGAATCCGTCGGGCAAAGGAGGATAAACATCAAACGTTATTGCACAGATTACGCATGAAAATGCATATTCCTTGCTGAGGGCGAGTAGTCCCAAGGATTCACATCTTATACATATGTTCTCCATGATGATATTTATTTAGAAACGATAGAAGAGAATTGCGTCCTATCAGAATTGCTCTCCTATTTTCCATCATAAGCTTCATGAAACAGTGGAAACTCACGTATAATTGTTAGTTGGAGATATTTTGATGGGAGCCAGAGTATGCCAGCTACGATGAACAAAATAGTAGCAGAGAAGAGCAATTTAGAAGGTTTCCTACAGTTCATTTCCGCTACATAAGTTGGTCGTGTAGGAATGATAGTGAGACTATTACATGGGATGAAATCCAGTGAAAATGTGCCAGTGTTTCCACGATTGAGCAGATTTTCAGACAAAACTAGCTGTTCACAATATACAGTGTCAAGCTTTTGTGAAAACATTCAAATTTCAGCATCGCTGTAGCTTTCAGAGTAAAAAAACCGCCACGTTATATCACTGCAAAAAAGGGGCACAGATTTTTTCAAAGTGAAGAAAAACAGTTTCCTAGTATGACATAGCAAATTACAAGCTCTTTACATTAATTTAGATTGCTCTCGCTGTGTGTTGGATGAAGTTTCCTATAAATTTGGTGAAAATTTCGAGGTGCCGAAGTGACGCCAAATGGTTTAGTGCCAAAATTTCTTTATCGTGATTGAGACCAACGATTGCAGTACTGTTAGTGATCTTATTTTAGCAGTCTTCCCGCCCACAAGTGTTGTATCTGTGAGACGGAAATGAAAGGCAAGCGAACGAAAGAAAAGTCGGAGATCTGCAGCGCTTTTTTCCAAAACATAATAATGTAAAATATTATATAATCCTTTCATTCTATAAACCAGTAA